CCTGAGGAAGCTGATGTGAACCCCATGTAGCTGTGGGAGTTTTGAATGGAATGTGAAAAATACAAATACCCAGAGGCGTGTTGCGCACCCGAAACCTGGGCCTGCAGGTGCGTTGTGCAGTTAAAGGGTTAATGACAATTTGCTGTCTCGTTTTAGGAACATCCTAAAACAAAGACAAAAGCAATTGTCAATAGATACGTTCTTTGAAAAAGTAGAGGAAAGAAGAGCCAGTGACAGTGAACCACAACCCGGTCCCAGTGGGGTGAAATTCCCAAGAAGAGAGAGCCCGCCTGACTCAGAGGTGGATTCTCCTTCCACACCATAACCCCTCTCCTCCTTCCCACCTTCCCATCATCTCCCTCAAGCCAGCAACGACTCTTCATAAGGTAAAGTAAACATGAAAATAGTACAACAAAACATTTATAATTACATGTGCAGTATTATATTTACATTATAAAATGTCATACAAGTATGGATGTTTTTGGGAGTGGAATGGATGAAATTTATTTCCTTTATTTTAAATGGGGAAATTTGTTTCTTAAGATGAATTTTCTACATAACGAGCTCGGTGCCAGAACGGATTAAACTCGTTAATCGAGGTGCTACTGTAGTAGTAAGAAGTATCCACAAAGTGGATACACAGCTAGTGCCTTTATAGCATTGGTGAGAAATACATAATAACACAAATAATAATGAGTAAATATGTTATTATGTTCTATTTTGTTATATATCATATAAATACATTGTCCAATGTTATTATCAGTTACTTTTAAAAATGTCCAAAAAATATTTTTTAGGGGAATATTTTTTTTAGATTTTTAGTTTTTTTTCCTCCTTTGTTTATTATTTGAATTTGTTTTAACGTTTACATCCTGGAGAATGCATACTCGACCCTAACTATGTGAAGCCAGAAGTAAATTGGTCAACAAATAAATCAGTCGCAACTCTCAGAACTTGGGACTTTAAATTTTTTTTGGCCAATTTTTTCACAGATTTTAACACTTTGGCGTACCCCGCGCGCCACCCCTCAACTGTGCGATATGGGACCCAGGGTGTCATGGGAGCGCGCGTAAATTCTGAAAAGTGTATACTCTCTTCAACTTTGTCACCTTAATTCTCGTCCTACGAGATTAAATTTGGTGTCATTGCGTTTGCAATAGAATTCTCTACAGCACTAAATGCATATAAACTCCAAAAGCCCGGCTAATTACCCGCAGCAAACAGAGAAAGTGCGAACGAGTTACCCAGGAGCGCGCAAACGCGATAAAATGTTTTCACTATTTTCACTCTGGTCACCTCAATTTTTGTCCTAGACCCATTTTGGTCTCAATGGGTTCGCAATAGAATTCTCTAGAGGAACATTAGCATATAAAATAAAAAACCTGGTCACGCTCCAACCGCCGACGAGTTGAAGACGGGCCACGCGTTAGCCGCGAGTGAGCGCTCAGAAGCCTTCCAGCCACACTCCCAATTCCCGCCCTTTTCAAGCCTTTCTTTCGCAATTTTCTTCCTGGAAGGGCCTTGTTCATGATCACTATCCATCGTGGAGTAAGCGTAGATAGTTTCTAAAGCCGCAGTAAGAAATATAGCCACGGGAAGTAGCCGAAATGTTCACACGTTTGAGATGCGAGGGGAGGCAACATTGGTCACAACAGTGGAGCGAAAACAATGGGCCTACGGCGTGTGCCAAGCCGCCTGAGGGCCACGAGGCTCAAGAAAGAAAATGGGAAGACATCGGCGCGCATTTTAAAACCAGTCCCAAAAAAATCAGATAAAAACCTGATTTTGGCGATTATTTAAAGTGGATGACGCAATGCTGCGTCATGCCCGTCATTACCGACAGTAAACAGATGACGCAATGCTGCGTCATGCCCGGGCGAAAGTGTTAAACTCTATTTTCCTTCTTTCTTTAGGTTGTTTTGATGATTAGGGACCAGACTAGGGCTTTTTTACTTTTATAAAGTATTCCCTAAATATATTCCCTAAAGCATTATAATTATTATAATTACACATATACAGTATTTTATTTTTTGGAGGGTTATTTTTTTCTTGACTTCATTCTACACACTATACCTACAACTTTCACATACTTGAGTACGAATGCCAAACAATGTTTATTACAACATACAAATAAATTCATGAATTAGAACTGCCTTATTCATTGTTGATAACTTCAACTTCCATTATATCTATAACTAGAATTTCAACTTACTTCAGTATCCAAAAATATAGTTTCTGACCGATTCTCACCATTTTTACATATAGTGTGCATAGCTGTCTATTCTACAATCCCTATAGAATTGATTTTTCATAAACTCTAAATGTTTGGAGTTATAAATTTTTGTTGTCTAAATTTGTGCATATTTTAAATGCCATATTGACAATTTTTTTACAGTAAACTATATGAAAACCTAAATATATGAAAATGAAGATCATATGCTATTCTGAGAGCACAATAACACCAAAGGAACAGTTGGTGATATTTTTATATTTTTGCAGCTGATTTCAAAATCTGAAGTTTTCAATATTCAATTTTATAATTATTTTTCATTTTCTTGTTTTTCAAGTTACACTGGTATCATTTAGACAAAGTTGGAACATTTGCCTAGTAGATTATTCACAAAACATTTGAAAAAGTTTCAGAAAACTTTAAAAAATGAGCTTAACCCTTGTGTGGCGCCGGGCTATTTAGCATTTGCCACCCACAGGCGCATACCAAAAAAATAATATATATATATTTTTTCTTCTAAACCTGTTAATTTGTGTTCACTGATCATGGAAAAAATAATAAAAAAAATCGTAAGTGGCATATATTGCCCGCTATAGGGTGGGGAAGTCTGACAAAAAACAGGCGCTGACTCAGCGTGCGTCCCAGACGGTCTGTTGCTCGCCAGCTGTCAGGCCGGAGTTGCCACAAAGAGATAATTACCTAATTATTTCAATGTCTCTGATTTTTCATAGTTTTTTTGCTGTAATATTATTCAATAGTGTGTAGTGTGATATATTTATATAATAAAATGAGTAAATCATCATTGTACTCAAAAATATGGTGTGCATATTGTTGATTCAATTATTATGTTCATCAAGCAGTGAACAAATACTTTGTCGATTATTATACTATATACACAGGTTATATATAAGTATCTGCATGTTTTGTTCACCATAACGAACCACTAAGTTGGTATTATGAGTCGAAAAGCAATGAGGAGTGACCACCACACACCAGTCAGCCACTCGCTGCCACTCACTCCCTCAACACCTCACTCGCCACATTCTCCTCCCACCATATTGTTTTTGCTTTTATTCACTATATACAGACGTTATATATAAGTATCTGCATGTTTTGTTCACCACAACTGTACTTAGTTAACTAAGTTGATATAGTTAGTTCAGGCACTAAGAGACGTCGCTACACAGTCAGTTGCCTCCCTCACACATTCAAGGTCAGACACACTAAAATTTCACCCCCAACAATACTGTTTGTGGTGTTATTACCCTATATACAGACATTATATATAAGTATCTACATGTTTTGTTCACCATAACTGTTCAACTAAGCTGGTATAATGTCCAAAGAGCATAGTGGCCACCCCCTACCAACATGACATCATGCAGATGTTGCCACACCCATCACCAAAATGGCTTCTCCCCCACACTCTTTTTGATGTTATTACACTGTATATACACATTATATGTAAGTACCTACATTCGTGTTCACCATAGTGAACCACTAAGTTGGTATGCTGAGTGGCAGTGGCAGCCAGTGGCAGCCCGCTACTGGCTGCCACTCCCTCCCTCCCTCACCTCACCTGACTTGCCACCATTCTCCTCTCACCATACCGTTTTTGCTTTTATATACAGACGTTATATATAAGTATCTGCATGTTTTGTTTACCATAGTGAACCACTAAGCTGGTATAGTGAGTCCAGACAGTAAAAGGTGGTCACACACAGTCAGCAGACAATGCTACCTCCCTCCCCACCAAGATTACTCCTCCCACTACAGCACTAATTATCACAACAATCCTGCTATCATCAGAATCCTGGTCATTTTTATCACAGTTGATTTTTCATAAACTCTAAATGTTTGGAGTTATAAATTTTTGTTGTCTAAATTTGTGCATATTTTAAATGCCATATTGACAATTTTTTTACAGTAAACTATATGAAAACCTAAATATATGATCTTCTGTAATAATCTTCTAATAATGGGTCTAATAATAATGGGTCTTCTGTAATAATATCATCGCTAAATAACAGCATGCAAATGTATATTATGGCACTCTTAGGCGATGCTGTGGTCACAAGCTGAACAGCAGTGATGTGAGCTCATGCTGCGTGTGTCAGGTTTGGTAGCTCACTCAATACTGCGGCCCCTCACACCCGGGAATTTGGCCCACGATTTTTTTAAAAAATGGCATCTGTTAACAAGAGCCCTGATGAAGGTGTGGTGAACCCCGTGTATCCGCGGGCCGTTTAAATCTTGCGTAGTACTCCAAAACATCATATGATGCCAAGCACAAGTTACTGCAAGTCACTCAATGCATCATATGATGTCTTGAGCAACTAAAGGGTTAATGTCACATATCATATGAGGTTTAGCGCAGTTTAAGGGTTAAAAGTCAGAGTACCTCGGCGATCATTCTGTGATTTGGACAGAGGTCGCAACTCGCAGCCAACGCCTTATTTCATAGATTTGAATAATACTGTACTGCATTTTGCAGCTAAAGGACTAATTATCTTTACTAAAGGAATACAAAACTTACTAAAAATATGGCACTTGGTAATTCTCAGTTTTACCTTGTCATTTCCATTCTACTCGGATTTCTATACTGAATGTGCATGTGCCTATTATAAAATTTGTTTGTTATTATTCAATTCATACAATTTTTTTTTACATATACTGTACTGTACAGTACATATACAGACAAAAATGAAAACCATCACAGAGCACAAGTCATTACATACCATTCAATACTATCATCCAAAGTGGTTTTTACCTGCAATTTTTTAGGCAGCATTGAGAGGTGATAGAGTCGAGCTGGAGGTGAGGTGTCCTGTTCTCCCATTCCTTTAAACTGATCCACGATAACATATTCTTCCAGTTCCTTTAACACTGGCAGATAGAGACTTCGAAATTCTTGTGTTTGTGCTTGAACTATGTTTCGCACCTTATCCTGGTCTTCTCCTACATGCATACGAAAATCACCTGCGAATGTAATACTTATAGCTAATTACATTCATACTATATAATAAAATGTTACTACACAATATTATTCATAATAATTTATAAATACCTGTATCTATAATATAAAGTTATATCTGTTCTAAAGCTATATTAGACCGGGACATTAGCTAAGGAGTTCAGACTTACCAGGGACCAGCGCCAGAACCTGGCCCCTTCAGAGAGGTTTCAGGGAGCAATGGCCCTGGAAAACCCCTTTTTGGTTGGGGATTTTCCTTATCTGCCATCGACCAGGGTTAGGCATCCAGAAAGGTAGGCATAATAAAACCAACCCCACATGGTAAGAAACTAAAACAAAAAAATGAACAGAGAGGTTGAAACTCCCTACAATCCCAAGGAAACAAGCGAACATCATAATTTACTGCCGCACTGATTGTCTGCGCAGCCCTCCCCGCGCCGAGAGGGGGAGGGGGGGCCCCGGACCTCACCGCGCCGGCTGCCAAGCACCAGTTCGGAAGCTAATCTTCTACCAAAGCGAAAAACCGCCGACTGGTGGGAGGGAGGCTTGCTAGGGAGCCTCCGAGGCTCACCCAGAAAATGGAGTTTCATTACATTCAATGCTGGTTTTCTATGGGAAGCCCCTACGGCTCCCTGGAGCTTTATACCCAAAGAGAAGGAAAAGAAAGGGCTGACCCAGGAGGCTGCCGCCACAAACTCTACAACGCGAAGTCGAGACAACAGGCAGCAACCTGCAACCCAAAGCAACACAAGAATGCACAGGAGCAGACACACTCACAAATGAACAGGTGGCCAGGAACCTGTGCGACCCCCAAATCCTCACATCTGAATGAGCCCAAGACGTCACCAAACACAGCAGCGAAAGCTGCAAACATCCAAACGGCACGGGCGCAAGGATAGATCGCAGGCTGGAAGACTAAAGAAAACTGCGGACGACCTGGGAGACCCGAGCACTGAAACAGGGAATGAGGGAAACCGGATCAACCTAAAGCGCATCCCCAGTTACGGCACGCATGTAACGGCGAAGAGCCGCAACCGGACAACACATGTCGCACCCCCGGTCGAACCAACCAAGCATCAATAACCCAAGGACCCCTCCGGAAAGCAGCCGTCTTGACCATCGCTAGAAGGACGGAGCAAGGCTGCAAGCATACGAACCTACCACCAGTACCAAAAGTGCAGAAACCTCTGCGCCGGAGGAGAGCCAGAAGCTCCCTGACCCGACTCACAGAGGCCAATGCCAACGAAGTATGGCCTTTGAAAAACAATCTTGAACCGAAGGGGCTACCACAAACTGAGAAGAGAAGGAAAAACGGCACCCTGATCAAGGACCAGGACGGCTCAGGCGGCGCATGAGCAGGCCGGAGGTGAAACAACACGAGAAGCATACGGAACAGGGCGGATGTTACGTCCACCCCGAACGCAAGCCGGAGCGGCTCCGCCAGCGCCACACAATACGAGGCGATAGGGCTCTTTGCGTCTGCTCAGCAGAGCAGATGCAAAGAGCCAAGGAGAAGGCTGAACCAGTCACATATAGGACCGGTCTGACCTACCTTAAGACGTGGAGCTGCGGGAAGCGCCCCAGGTTCTAATACCAATCAAGCAGTGTCTGAAAAGGAAGCTGGGCCAGCCACCAAGGGACCACGAGGACCACTCTTTGGGAAGGATTCCAACCAAGCCAGAACCCAAAGCAACAGTTGGACCAGGAGAAGAGGAACAGGTAACTCCACCTTGAGCAGTCCTGCCGAAGGCATCCACCGTGAATGCCTCGCAGGCGGGTAAAGGCAACACATAGAATGGGAGATGCCAAGACCATGCCAACGTGAAGATGTCCATGACCAGGATTCCGTACGTTTGGCAGATCCAATGAAACGAGTTGGCGACGACCAGCCAAACCGTGAGCAGAGGAATGAACCGAGGCAGGCCATCCGCCTGGTCGCAGGACACCCCGGACATGAAACGCACAGCTAGCCAAACCCCGAGGATCCAGTAGACGAGCCACTCGAAGGGCCCAACCCCAAGGTCAAGGACCTAAGAGAATCCCCGTGGTTCCGGCAATGAACCACCAAAAAACAGTTCGAATGGAGCCGGATGGGAGAGCCCCGAGTGACCCGAATCCTCTGGAGCACAAACCAGACAGCCACGAACTCCCGAACCGTGCTGTGAGCCCAACGGACGGACAGGCCCCACCGTCCCCGGTCAGCTTGGTGAGCACTGGCCACAAAGCCCCAGCCGAGAGATGACCCGTCCGTGAACACATCGAGCGAAGGCTCAGGGAGGCGCCAAAGTACGAAACCCTGAAAACCCCAAAGAGGAGGCCAGTGACACAGCACCAACACAAGATCCCTAGAGGACGAACCCAACGTTTGCGAGAGGCGGAAGGGGAGTCCCCGAAGCAAAGGAACCGAACAGATGCTGAAGCCAAACACTACCTGACAGGCAGACCAGCACGGCGAAGTTCAGACTGCAGCACAACTGCTCGAGCAACCGCCGAGTGACCCGGGACCCCCTCATAAACAGAAGGTGGGACCACAGCTGCAGCAACGCTTCTGGAGGGAAAGACAAAGAGGCGGTCCAAGAGTCCTAAACAAGACCCAGCCAGGTCCAAACCCGGGACAGAACCATAGGGAATGGCCTCCAGATCACCAGGAATTCGAACCTAGCAATCTGGAAAGAACCACACAGACATTGGGAACCACAGTCCACAGACAAGTGGACTGACCGGGAGCCCACACCAGACAGTCGTTGAGGTAGTCCAGAAACCGAATCCCAAGCAGACGCAGAAAGGTCACCAAGATCCGGCAAAGATGTGTAAATACACTATACACTAAGTGCCAAAGACAAACTAGGGAAGGCAACAAAAGCAGCAAGCCTGAAGCCCCACCACCAACTGTGCCAGTCCCGGAACCCTGGAGAGGAACGTGCCAAGAAGTGACCCGGAGGGCCAGGGACACCATCCAGGCACCCGGCCCCAACAGAAGCTGGACCGGAGACAACAGTCTTCCAAAAAGGGTAAAGAATCCAGGGCGCAGACTGCGTAAGTCCAGAAGAACAGCAAGGCCCATGTCTGCACTAGAACAGGCGGGAACTTTGGAAGGATGGGGCAAAACGACCACGTCCAAACGCACCCACACCAAGATGTGGTGTAGGTGCATTTGGCAGGTGGAGTCCGGATTTCTTGGCGTTCACAGTTTCGATCAATCTGTTTACTTTTGTTTTCAATTCGGCTTGAAAAGAGGATGCACGTTTCCTTAGAATGTTTTCTGGTATGTCAAGAAGAGTACAGGCCGTACTCCTCTTTTCAAGCCAAATTGAAAACAAAGGTAAACATTGATAGAAAATGTGAACGCCAAGAAATCCAGACTCCACCTGCCAAAGATTATTGGGGGATACAAACCTGGGTATGTGTATGGAAATGTCAAAACACACAAGCCTGGAAACCCACTTCGGCCAATCATCAGCCAGATACCCACACCCATTTACAGATTGGCGAAGCGACTCAACGCCTTGCTGACTCCTTATGTACCTTGTGCTTTCAGCCTGTAGAATCGCTGTTTACCAACGTACCTGTGGATGAAACAATCGGGATGATAGCGAACAGAGTGTATTGTGATCCGGCCTGTACTCCTCTTGACATACCAGAAAACATTCTAAGGAAACTACTCCAAGCTTGTACTAAAGAGGCACCCTTCTTGAACCCTGATAGGTACATGTATAAGCAAGTAGATGGGGTCGCCATGGGTTCTCCCCTAGGTGTCCTGTTTGCGAACTTCTACATGGGTACCATCGAACAGAAGGTCTTAGTTGGCATGAACTTGAAACCTGCCATATACTGCAGATATGTTGACGACATTTTTACACAGGTACCTGATGTCAGACGTCTGCAGGAGCTGAAGGAGGCATTCGAGCGGAATTCTGTGTTGAGTTTCACTTACGAAATGGAGGATGGGAAGGTGCCCTTTCTAGATGTAACAGTCATGGAAAGGAGCAGAGGTTTCCACACTGCAGTCTACACTAAGGAAACATAGGAATGTGCCTCAATGCCAACAGTGACTGCCCAGACAGGTACAAGAGAAGTGTTGTCAAAGCTTACGTCGATCGTGCTCTCAGCCACAGCTCAGGATGGAAGCAAGTCGATGAAGAACTCTGTAGGGTAAGGCAGGTCCTAGTCAACAACGGCTTCTCCAATGGTTTCGTTGAAGACATTATAAAAAGAAAGGTGAAACGCCATGCAACCTCTGAAGAGTCAACTACCACAACACCTGTACCCCCTATTAGACTATTTTACAGGAACTTCTTTTCCACAGCTCATAAAACGGAGGAAAGGGTCCTGAAAGATATTGTTAATAGGAACGTTATCCCTACAGACAAAAATCATTAGATACAATTGACGATTTACTATAAAACCAAAAAAAACGACCAACCTACTTATGAGGAACTCTACAAACACAAAGCAGAATGCTTTAAAAGAGACCAACGTCGTCTATGCCTTCAAATGCCCACTTGGGGACTGTAAGCCCCAAAGAACTCAGTATATAGGCAAGACAACAACATCTCTTTCCAGGCGATTAACAATGCATAAGCAACAGGGCTCCATCAAGGAACATACAATCTCTTCCCACAACCAGACCATCACCAGAGAAGTCTTAACAAACAACACAGAAATCATCGATAGATACAGCGATAGCAGGCGACTTGACATCTGCGAGGCACTACATATCAAAAAGTCATCACCAGCAATCACCTGTTAAAATCTGGTTTTCTATGGACTCTGCCTAACTTTCGGTCATTACTGGACTCTGATTATTTTTGGGCACAAAGTGGACTGAATAATTTTCGGGTATAAACTGGACTCTGATGGATTTTGAGCTTAAACTGGTTTCTGACTAATTTTCGGTCTTAAAACTAAATGTCATGGCTAAGATGTTTGTTTTCCTTAACAAAACTTCTGTGAACATATTCTCAGAAAATGCTCTTCGAAAAAATGTGCGATTTTGAAAACAGGC